GCAGACTGCAGGAGTGCACCGTCGTGCTGGAGTACAGACTGCAGGAGTGCACCACCATGCTGGTGCGCAGACTGCAGGAGTGCACCGTCATGCTGGGTGTGCACAGCATTACTGAACGTGATGTTTGGGAAGAAATGCTGTCCTAGAGGTCAGGCAGGAGCTGAGCACCGCTGGGAATGGCGAGGAAATAGGGAGTAGCCTGGGCCTGTCATGATCTGAGTATGAAATGCCCCCATATGTTGGACGCCTGATCCCCACATGCGCTATTTTGGAGGGTGCTGGACACATTAGTAGTCCCTAGCTGGAGGAAGCAGGTCACTGAGGGTGCAGGAGGGTCAGGGTGTCTCTGGGGGGGGGCTCCATCTTGTCCTGATCCCTTCCTGTCTCTCTCTGCTGTTTCCTGGTTGTGAAGAGGTAGAAAACTCCATTCTCTCTCGCTGGCTGCTATGACGCTATGCATGGCCTTAGACCCCAAGCAGTGGAGTCAACAGGCCATGGACTGAAACTCTGAATTCCTTTCTTTAACACAGGCCTGTGCACCCATGTCAGGCAGTCCCCCACTTTTCTGTGCTTTATAATTCCCAAGTACAAGTACTGTCCCAGTCCCAATTTTTTTTTTTTTTTTGCTTTTTATTGGTGTGTGTGTGTGTGTGTGTGTGTGTGTGTGTGTGTGTTCACCAGAGGACAATTTTTGGGAGTTAATCCTCTGTTTTCAGCATGTGGGTTCCAGGGTTCAGGCTTGGTAGCAAGCACCTATAGCTGCTGAGCTATCTTGCTGGCCCTGGACCTGTCCTTTCACTATGTGCAGCTTGTTCCATTGTGATTTTTAAAAACATTTAATGCATGTTGCTACATGGAGACCTGCTCCTGACATTTTAACTACAGTCTAGTGTCTCCCTGGAATCCTTTACTGGGGTTAGGGTGTGGTGGAGTATGTCCTTAACTGAGCAACCATGAGGCTCTAGGATCAGTCCCCAGCATTAAAACAAAACAAACAGAAAAGTAAACAAAGGAGAGCTGCTTATTTCTCAATTTACTTTTTTATGGGTCAATTTTAGTCTTGCCTGTCTCATGCCATATGGGAACAGAAAAGTCTTTACATGTACCCCCAGGTGTACTCACGTATCGTATAACCTTTAAAACAATTACACATGTTTGAACTTGGTGGCTCAGTGGCTTAGTTTGTGTCTCAAACCTGGGGTAACATAATGGTATGATTCCCTGTAGATGAAGAGTCCTGCCACTTGTCCAATACTGAACAATTCTGCTTATGTCTCAGGTACTTTACTCCCATGAGGTGCTGAGCGTCCTCTGTGATGGGAATACGGTGACTGGGCTGGGCCATGGAGGCACTGGCTGTGCTCACAGACTGATGAGGGGGTCAGTGGCAGAAGAGCTTGGGTGCTGATCTGTCTTGCCCACAGAGTAGTGAGCTCTTTGTTGGCCTCCTGAGGGCTTTAGGTCATGTTTAGACCATGAGTACCACTGCACTATCACACAATGGCAGCACTCAGGGGGTACTCCACCCCCAAAGCCTGCAGAGAGAGAGAGGTATTATCAGGAGGAATAGGCCAGCAGACAGAATCCACACACCAATGACTTCATGAATTCCAATCAGTCCTCTTTTATGCTAACCTATTCCCCGCCAGGCCATGAGTGCTCAAATACCCAGGTGACAGAACTTTTGGCATCTTGGCACTGTGAGCACATCTGTGTCCTCACCAATGTTTCATGATAATTAATGTCACTAGTAGAAAGCCAGCGGTGGTGGCATACACCTTTAATCTCAGCATTCAGGAGGCAAAGGCAGGCCAATTTCTGAGTTGGAGGCCAGCCTGGTCTATAGAGTGAGTACCAGAACAGCCAGGGCTACCCCGAAAAACCTGTCTGGAAAAACAAAGAAACAAACAAACATCCCACTAGTAGCCAGGCAGCCCAAATTCTGCAGAGTGAAGTGAAGAGGAAGGCAACCCACCCTAGGACAAGGGATGTCAGTTGCCTCTGGGTGGCCTAATCTAATGTTTAGACATCAAATATCTAAAATAGCAGCAGAAAGAGTTATGTGGGAACTGCCCTAGACTTGCCTTAAGTGGAGCTCCCCCTACCTGTCCAGGAATGAGCAAGAGCATTGCTTTTGAAGCTTCTATCCTCGGGGCATGGGAGTGTCCCTGCCCTTCCTACAGGCCAGGCTCAAGCCCTGCTCGCCAATCTTTTAGCACCATGGACCCCATTCTACAATACTAACCCTTTCAGAGCTCTTGAGTTCCAACTTGTGCCTTGGCTGGCTCTCTCCAGTGGAAAGGTTGTGCCTGGTACCCTTGCTGCTGTTTCCTGGGACGGTGGGGCTCCTTGTCCCCCAGGAGCATCCACGAGGACAGCAGGATTCAGCAAGGCATGATGAAGCTCTCAGAAGCCCTGAGAGAAGACATGTGTCTTGTTCCAAGCCATAGGCAAGGTGGGAAGAGAGCACAGACCGTGCTTGGGAGCTCTGGCTCTTGGTTAGGGCCTATCACTCTTGTCACACCGTGCTAGACCTGAGACCCAGAGAAAAATGTCCCAGAGCAGGTTGAGGACCCGGGCCAAACAAAATGAAGTGTCTTGACTTAAAGTTCATGGAGCTTTAATGTGTTTGTGACCATGGGTTCTGAGAAGTCACACCCAACACCCTGTAAACCACGACAGAGGTCCCATGCCCCCGATGTTCAGTGTGAAAACTTCCCGACACCCAGCTGCTCACCGCAACTGTATAGTGAACAGAGCCCAGAAGAGGAATTTATTTGTTGTGATTTTCTGGGCAGAACAACGAAGACCTTTCTGACAAAAACTCCTCTAGGCCCCATTCCACAGATCTGCTGTGACTGAAGGGGACCTGGAACCCTCCAGTTACCCTTCATTGCTGCTATGCAGGCAAGGTTCCCCAGTGTCCCATGAAGCACGGTGTGAAAAGCATGTACAACCATGAGCAGGGGTGAGATGGGAGACTGCAGGGCTGAGTCACTCTTGGGGTCTTCTTTCATATAGTGAATCTGCTGGACAGGGTTTTCTGGCATCAGAGAAGCTGCTTAGCTGGAAAGACTGCAACTCTACGGCTATAAATGCCTAATCCTGAAGGCTCCCAGATCAGCTTCTAGCATCCCACTGCTGAGCTTTAGAAGTCTGGGACTGCCTGTACCTAGCCTGTGCTGGCGCAGCACACTGGGGCCCAGGCTGTAGAAAGCAGAATTCATTAAGTTAACGCGATGCCCAGGGGCAGCAAGTTCCCTGGAGAGGGCATGCCCCATGCAGGATGGAGGAGGTGGGGGTGGGGGCTGGGTGGACCTGGATCAGCAGCCGCTCAGTGGGCAGAGCTGGGAGAGGGACCCAGGTCTCCTGACTCCTGCTCTATCTTTAGATCTCCATAGCAACCGTCGCCAGGGCACCGAGCTGAAGGCTCGGGCTATGTGGCTGCCTGCAGGAGGGAGGGGCATTTGCCTCTATTCCTCTTCTTTTGTGGAGAAAGGACTCTGGGCTGGCTTGCCTAGCCAGGAAAGACAGACTGAGCATGAAGCTGATCATGGCAGGACAGACTTGGCACTGATACCCAGATGATCCAGTGCCTTGTTCTGAGAACATGGTCAGGTCGTTGACCAAGGCGTGTGTTCAACCCACGGAAGGTACAGAAGTTAAGGTCCTCCAAAGAGCTCTGAGCTTTCCCCAAAGTTATTCTCTTAACACTGACTCTGGGCCCTCTGGAGGGGCGAGAGAGGCTCCTCACCCCTTCTCCCATCCAATGCCACCATCCTGAGCTCAGCGGGACTCCATTTGTTTGGCTTCCTTGGAGCAGTCTTCCCTGGCTTCCAGGCCCACTGCTGGCCTCCCTCCACATACCAGGATGCTAGGAGGGAAGGACAAACCTTATGAAGCAGACAGGAAAGGAAGTTCTAAGGGTGACAACATTGTCCAAGTCAGCAGCAGGGTCTGGCCTGGACTCCATGTCTTCTGACTCTAGTCTGTGCTCCTTCCTGAGTCCCTGTACAAAGTCTGTGGCTAGGGCTAGAAGAGGAAGTAGGAGTCCTCAGTCAGGCCAGCAGACAGCAAACACCTAGCCATGTCCTTGGTAAATGAAGATGAGCCACAGACTAATGTAAATGGCTTTCTCCGGCAGCAGGCTACTAGTTCATCAACCAGCTCCTGGCCCAGGCGGCCAAAGTGGGTCTTCTCACGGTAGCTCCAGGGAAGCTGCTCTGGGGAGACCTCCTGGGAAGACAAGAAAGAGCAATCATGACTCCTGGGGCTGTTGGTGTTCACCAGCCAGCTTGCTTCCGCCATTGTGAGAAATGGTAGAGAACCTTTCGCCAAAAGCTCCTAGTTCCTGCGTTAGGGAAGGATGGAGAGGGCCCTGGAGAGGGAGTCCTGACAACTGTCATGCTGAGTTACTAGCCTCTGAGCTATGAGATAAGGCCCGGGCTATGGAAAGCCATGGTCCTGCCAGCCAGAGTAAGAACACAGCCCTGTGGAGGCCTGAGGAGCAAGGGCTCCTAGTGTCCCATGTGATTTCAAGCCTTGTAGCCTCAACCCCAAAGAGTCTGAATGACTTCCAGTGCTGTCAAGGGGCACTCTCTGATGACCTGGATCTTCCTACACTGCCTCAAACACTCTCCCTACCCAGCAGAACCTTGAGAGCAGAGTCGGCAGGCAGGCCTCATCTCTCCTCCCCCCATTAATGATTCTCCCTAACTACTCTGTTCCACTGGCCCTACCCAAATTGTGCACCCCAAGATGCACTGAGTCTGGTTACTCCTCAGCTGTGGGAGAGCCCCGTAAACAATGATAGATAGGTAGGTGCTGTGACGGCTCTGAGCCTGCAGGATGCACTTCTACCCTAGCAGACCCAGGAAGGGTGAGTAGGCATTGGGAAAGAAAGGGCAAACAGCACACCTGTCAGGGACAGCAGGCACAGCTGCCAGAAAAGCACAGGGCCATTGTATGTGCAAGCTCGGTAGTGGCACCAGGACACTGCATTGGAGAGAGCCGGCCAAGAGGTGAAGATGTTAAGGTCAATGGGACACTCAGAATAGTGGGACCAGTGAAGGGCCAAGAGTAAGGCAGTGCAGAATGAAGGACAAGCTGGCAGGAAGTGGCAGGTGCAGGGAGACCTGATGGTGCTGCTGCCAGACTCAGGCAGGGAAAGAGGCAGCCTGAATCAAGTGCTTGTGGGTGAGCAGAGCTACCAGTCTCCCCTTACTCCTGTTATATGGAGCCGGCCCATTTCCCTGCACACCCTTCAGCAGCATCAAAGCCCGGCAGAGCCAAAAGTGAACTTTAACTCCCCAGTCCAGGCTCAACATTCCCTGCAACATTCCTGACCTCACTTGCCCTCCTTGCTGGCCAGCAGTGACAAACATCCGATCAGCATGCATGTGTGCTCTACTGATGGACACTAAGGGAGTGGCCTCTGTGCAGGACCGACTGGGCTGGTACCCAGCTCTCTGTTGCTGTTACCTTGTAACTTTAGGTTCTACATCTGTAAAGGAGACAGGATGGCAGCACAAGCCTCACGGGACTGACATGGGGATTGAAGTGCTCTGAATGGTATGCAGTTTTGTTAACTCAATAAAGCTGGAGTCATGTGAGTAAATGCCTTGAGATCAGACCGAACTACAGGCAAGCCTGTGGAGCACATTCTCTCATTCTCTGTATTTTCCTTTCTTTCTTTCTTTCTTTCTTTCTTTCTTTCTTTCTTTCTTTCTTTCTTTCTTTCTTTTTCTTTCAATGAGACAGGGTCTCACTGTGTATAGACTTGTCTAGCCTAGAACTCACTATGTAGACTTCAAACTCATAGAGATCTGCCTGCTTCAGCCTCCCAAGGGCTGGGATTAAAGGTGTGTGCTACCACACCAGCTCATTTTAACTGATTGATGTGGAAGGAGCCAGCTCACTGTGGGTGGTGCCATCCCTGAGCAGGGCCTTGGGGTATATAAGAGAGTAAACTGAACAAGCCGGGAAGAAGCAATCCTTTATGGTCTCTGCTTCAGTTCCTGTCTCTGCGTTCAAATTTCTGCCATGACTTCCATTCCAGATGGACTACAGCTGAAGGCTGAAACAAATCCTTCTTTCCCAAGCTGCTTCTGGCCATGGTCTTTATCAGCAACAGAAGACAACCAAGGCAGCCAGCCAAGACTGCTGTCCCTGGAGACAGGCCGGTGCCTCAAGGACAGGAAGTATCTCACCTCCATTTGTGGTCCTGGTTGAGGACAGAGGGAAGGAGGCTTGGGTTTGCTCACATTTTTGTAGGGTTGCTGTGCCGTTGGCCTGTGGCCTTCCCTCATCTCCTCAGCTTCACACCAGCCTCCTGTTTCACACCCTGTGCCAGATGCTTCCTGCTGCTGTTAATGTTCACCAAACAGACCCTCCTATGTGCACGTCAGAGAGCTTTCTACCTGTGAACAGGTCTGAGGACCATGGCTCTACAAAGCTCTGCAGGGGAGAGCAATACAGTTTCCGGGTCATTGAGGTCATTGAGCCAGAACATTGAGGATAATATAAACTGCCAGAGATTTTCCAGAAATGTCTCAAAAAGGAAACTGAGGAGGGAGTATCTGCAATACAGGACTATATGGACAATACAGGACACTCAAACAAAAGGAGATGAGGGCAGGGGCAGGCAGCATGGAGCCCCAACCTAGGGAGTAGAAAGAAGCAAAACCAGACTCTCTAGAATGCAGATAGACAATGGTGATGGGAGGCCTGGCTTGAGATAAGGTATGCTATGGCAGGAGTTGGGAGGGCGGAGACACAGGAAGTGGCTTTCAGGTAGAAAATCTACAGCTCGCCGACAGTAGCTGTTCTGCCACTGTGTGGAGGAACAGATGGAGGTGATGGGGACCTTACGGAGGGCACTGCCCAGTCAGTCTTGACAGAGCCCCTACTCTGGGCCTGGCCTCATGCTGAACATCACAGGGGAGAGGGGAGTGTGTGAGCCCCCATTCTTAGCCTTGAACACCTGCTGCTGCCTTGATTCCACATCCAGGTCCAAGCCCACACAAGTGATTCCAGGAGGTGGGTGGGACACAGCTGAGGACAAGAGCTACAAACTGAAGCTCAGGAGTGTGAAGCATGGGGCCCAGTCCTGACCCCACATCTAAAGCATGTCCCTTGGCCCAGCACTTCTGTAAGCATGCTTCCTCCTCTGTATGACGGACTTGGTAACACCTACCTTCCACACAGGGCACCTAGGACTGTTAATATAGCACAGGGCACAGAGGCTACAGCCAGCCCTCAGGACAGCAGAGAGGAAATGCAGCTTCTTAGTGGAGGAAGTCCTCACCCTGGGCTCACCTGACTGAGGACAAAAAAGGTTCGAACGTTCCAGAACCTGGCCTGTTCCTGGAGGAAAGTCTTCAAGTAGATGCTCTCGAAGGTCTTGAAGCAGCAAACCAAGGTGACAAAGGTCTCATCATCTGCATTGTCTGTGATGCTATGCAGGATAGGCACCATAGGGGCCAGGCCTGTGCCGGCTGCCAGCATGAGTAGTTCACCATACTAGAGAGAATGGACGACAGCACAGTAGATGGTGGGATCTCACCCACTGCCCATCTACGGGTCTTCTCTTGGCTAAGCTGGGCAGCAATGCCTTTCTCAAGTGTCCCACCCATCTCTGCCATGCTTTACCCCGATGCAGGAAGCCACCTGGTTTGTGAGCAGCAGGCAAGGCCTGCAAAGCACAGGTTATGGGATTCTGCAGCTCCTACTCTGTAGCCCAACCTGAAAGGGTCTTGGCCGCCTTTTAGCATTTCCCTCAGGGACTCTGCTTACATATTTGTGCTAACAAGGACCTCACTACCTCCCAAAGCCAGTTCCTCTCCTACCAAAGCCTTTCCCCTCCTGACTCCATCTCAGCCTGCTCTCTGGACTGCCTCCTCTGCCCTGGGGAGCTCTACAAAGGTCCCAGTGCCCCAGCTTAGAACCCTGAGTCTCTCTTCTCTGAACTAAATGAAGCGATTTATGCATGTGCCTAGCATGGCACTGTGAGGTAAGTTCTTGCCCAAGAGACCTAGTACCATCAATCCTCCTCAATAAGCTCATGTCCTGTTTCTAGGTTTCTTAAAAAAAAAAAAAAAAAGACAGACCTTTTCAAAGTCAGTTTCTTTTTTGTTTGTTTGTTTGTTTGTTTGTTTGTTTTTTCAAGACAGGTTTTTCACTGTGTAGCCCTGACTGTCCTGGAACTCACTCAGTAGATGATGCTGGCCTCAAACTCAAGAGCTCCGTCTGCCTCTGCCTCTATTGGAATTAAAGGTGTGTGCCACCACCGACCGGTTCTCAAAGTCAGTTTCTTAAAGGTTAATGCCTGACCCCCACAGAGAAATATTCACCTTTTTCATTCTAGAGAGTCGACTTTCGTGTATAAATCTCAGCCATGTGACCCTGGCAAGCTATTTTTCTACTCTGAGCCTCAATTTCTTCACTGGTGGAAAACAATAATGAGAGCATTTTCCTAAAATAGCTCCTACCTCAGAACCACCATGAGGACCAGATGAGGTATGGAGTTGAGGTTAAGCATTTCACTTCTCCCCCTTATTAAGCCTGAGATCCTGGGCTGGTTCACCTTGTCCTGCAACTGTGGTCCTGCCAGGGTCCAGACCTCTGACCTGCCTCACCCCTCCTTTTCTCTCATCCTTGCTCAGGTTGTGTTCTAGGAAGTCTTCCCTGAGCAGGGCTGGGGTGGGGGCTCTTCCTTTCCTGTCCCCCTAGTGCCTTGTGCCTTCCTCATACAACACTAGTAAATACTACCTGTCTCTTCATGGACAGATGCTGGTGTCTGCCTGTGTCACGAAGGCACAGACATTTGTATGGTTGATTTAACAAGACAGCTACAGAGCAGGACTGGCAAGGGGCTGGGTACCTAAGCCTTCTCAGGGAGCAAAGCAGGCCCTGGCAAAGCTTTGGTGGCCAGTCTCAACAAGGGACACTGCCCCTGCCCCTTTGCTGCTGCACCTGGGTGAGAAACAAAAGGCTCTGATGTCTCCAAGATGAAGGCCACAGGCACTGGGAGGCTCCCTCAAGGGAAAAGTGGTCTGAGGGCCATTTGCTCCAAGCTAGGAAAAGAAACAACACCTACACCTGCTCTCAAGGGTCTGGGAGACACAATGCAGGGCCAACATGGGTAATACCAGAACACTGCTGGAGAGAGATAAGGGACACATACACCTGCAAGTGTAAGATGGGTGGCGAATCACCTGTGAGCTGCTGTGAGTGCTGAGTGAGCCACCACACAGCATGTGTTAGAGCAAGAGCCTGCAGAGGGTGAGGTACAGATGGGTTTGGCAGTGTGCATGGGGATATGTGTTTCCTGTGATTGTCGGAGTGGAGCCCAGGCCCTACAAGTGCTAGGCAAGCAGTCTACACTGAGCTACATCCAGTCCTGACAAGGCTGCTATCATGATGCTCACACACACACCACCCCACACAAACCACAACACAACCACACAAC